GATAAGTACAGAGGATAAGACGGGGAAAGAAGTGCTTCCTGTAAGGTGTGTGTGTCTTCGCAGTGGTTTTGATGTTTGTCAGCTCTTTGGTGTCTGTGTAGTGGAGGTGTCTCCCACCCCAGGACTCAGCTTTTCAAAGAAACAGTGTTTCTGGATAAAGAAACTACGTTCCTACCAGAAGTAGTAAAACTAAAAAGGGGTATACCTGCATGTTGGCGAGAGATTGTTTCCATACCTCTCATTAAAGGGGAGTAGTGCCCTTGCCACCAGGATGAAGGGGTTGTTCTAAGCCCTCAGTCCATGTTCATGGAGAGCAGGGGCCAGTAAAGCGGTTTTGTGCAGGAAGATGCATCACTCTGTCTACTCTGCATTGTGTGTCTGTCAGCTCTTTTTTTTTTTTCTTTTTTTCCTTTTTTGAATATATTCCTTAAAACTTGGAACAACTGTGTGTTTGATAAAAGGTCTGCGTAAATCTGTAGTTCCTATTTAAATTGTTCAGGTTCCAGTCACCTGAGGTTTGAGGGGCCTGATCAACCAGGTATGCTCAAAGCAAGATATATTAGTATGTGATAGTGGCATCATTGTTATTGGCATATAGATGTTAAATCCAGTACGTAGCAGTGTAGCTTTCTTTTAGTTAATCAAAAACCTGGCCAGTGTTTCTTGCCTTATTATGAAATAAGCTAGTGGCCAGAGCGCTTCTCACTAATGTGAGATGTGGGTTCTAGATCCTCCTCAAGTATGGAGCTGTCTTGCAGGAATCTCCGGGCTACTGAACTACATACAAGCTTTCCTAGCAAGTGCTTGCTGTCTGCCCCTTTAGTTGAAATTGGGTCATTGATTCTTGCACTTTTTTTCACAGAGTTAAATAGGAAGTAAGCGAAAGAGTGAGGCTTTCTGATCTTGTGCCTAAATAATCAGGTTTAGTCCCCTCTGTCTAAGCAGTTCCCATCTTAGCATGTAGGCTTCTAACTACATGCTTAGCTCTCCTAAGAACACTTACTTTCCATGCAAGTTGTAACTTAAAATTGACCCCCATCTTTCCTTTCACGTAAATCTGGAGCAGTAAAGTTAAAATTATGTCACCTTGATTCCCAGTGTTAAATGTTATTAGAAAGCTTCTGCTTTCAAGCTGCATCTCAAAATGGCTTTGTCTAATTTGTAGCTTTTTCATTCCCTCATAAAAGATGCAACACTGAACAAACACGTGTCAAGATTCAGATGGAAAATTTTAAACAGACAGTGGAGCTTTTGCTTTGATTTGAAGTGGAAAAGGTAGACAACGTGGTAGAATAGTGCAGCTGTCAATAATGTCATGGTCTGTCTCCCTTTGTTCATTTAGCTTACATTGAAGGAGAGATTAGTCTTTATTCTTATCTGCAGTTTAACAAATGTTGTCCATGAATTTCTAAGCTTCAAACAAAACTGGGTTTTATTTTTGGTGGCTGCATGGCACCCATAGATGCAAAGAATGTCTGGTATGCTTTGCACATTTGGTGATTGCTTGGAAGTGCTTTTTGACTGCTTGAAGAAACCAAAGCTGGTTTAAAACTGAATCTTGTTAACCTGTGCAGCTTCTTCAGAGAACTTGTATGGGCCTTGTGAGAAGAAATACAATTCTTAGATTACAAATCACTTCATTAGCTATAAAGTCCAGGTGCGGTTATCTCTAATGCTATCCCTGTGCTGACAGTTGGAGCAATCCAAAGTTCAGTGTACAGAGGTCACCTTCGTTACCAGTCTTGGAGTGATAGTCTGGGATGTCCTGCAAAGCTAGTAGGCAACCGAAATAGCCAGATAGCCTTTTTGGTAAACCAAGAATGTCTACTCAAAAGTTGAACGCCAGCGTATGTTTTGCTGGCGGACCTATTGCCCAAACCAGTTGAAAGTTGAAACACGTGCTATTCCACGAGCCAGTTTAGCATGTTTTGGACCAGGTGACTGGAAGCAATGCTTCCAGATAAAAAACTTCAGCTTGGACAGCTTCATATCTCAAAATTTTAAATATAGTGCTTTAATGTTACATTTATTTTTCCTTGCTTGCTGTTTTTTTTAGGGTGTTTGCAAACAGAAATGAAATCTTAATTTGAGAACCAAAACAGGGCTAGGAGGTGCAGAAATCCTGAGTACAGGAATTGGAAAGGTATTTTTGCTGGCTGAAGAGACTGTAGTTTTGCTGATTCTCAAGCTACCCAGTTCATTTGTGAATAGAGATGAATGTCAGGCTGGAACAAGATGTCAAATTCATCAAGGTGGCCAGATTTTTAAGTGGATTCTGAAAAAAGTGAGGATCTTCGTGTGAGTGGTAGCAGGTGGTGGGTAACAACCTTTTGCATGTGTGGTAGCTTAGAGAAGGGCATACTTCATACAAGGTAGAGTCGTGAGGTAAATGAGGACTTTATGCAGGGGGAAAAAGGCAGTGTATAAATGCGGTGGTATAAATGTAGATACGTAGGCAAATATGTAGTCTTGATAGCTGTTTGGTCTCAGCGTTAAAATAAACAAAGGCTCTGAAACAAAGTGTTTTAATACGTGAAAGCAATGATGGGAAGAAGAGCATTCTTCAAAGAACAAAGTTTTCCTTCATGTAAGGCTCATAGCTACATATAGCCAAGTAACACGCAGCAGACGTGCTTTAATGGGTTTTGACACTTCTCTGACTTTCCTTCTGTTGTTGCGAGATGCCAAATAGGAGTGGGAGGAGAATTTTTTAAAGAAATATTTGACTATGAAATAGATGATTTGGGGGTATAGCAAAAGAAAACCACTGAAATTTTGTGATAGGCTCTTGAAAAATCAGTTTGGTGTACATACCTATGCTAACAGCATCTCTCTTTGCAATCTCTTCAGCACATGTATTGTGTCATGGTGCAATCAATTATTTAGAGCAGGAGCCAGTCTAATTAGGTAGGCAGACAAAAGGAAAGAAAAGACCTATGAGTAGGGCTCGGAGAGTAAATTGCATCTGGTCATGAAAGAACTCTGTGGGAGTACTTCTAGGATTGCACTGAAGTCTCTACCTCAGAATCATGTTCTTGAAGCGTTTTTTCTCCCCAGGGTTCTCTACACTGGCACCTTCCTGGGTGCTTCTCCAAGCACAACGAAATTTGATATGCAAAATACCTTTTTAAGATTGTTGCACCAGTTTTTATATAGAACTGAATAATAGACTAGGGCTTATAGCAAAACCCTAGACCTGTATATTCTGTGTTAATGTAAAATACTGTACTTGATCTCTGTGTAAAAGTATCTGAATGGAAGCTTTAAATCTTGAAGTAGATTGCTCATACTGAGATCTCTGAACTTCTGCTTCAGCAGCCCTGCAACTAAGGCAAAGCTAGGCTTGCACTTTTTTTTAATAATCATAATTTAATACTTGCCTTTTAGTAAATAATTAAAGAATGGGACACGTTTCTAAGTTACATTTGCAGAGCTGGAATTTGAGATGCTGCCTACCCAGTCCAAAGGCTCATTTTTACTAGTTAGCATTCTGTTGAGTGCTTGGATCTGGCTTGACGGTTTCTCTGTGACTCCTGAATACTTCAGTAGTAAACATGCTGGAATGTGTTAACATTTAAATTCAATTTTAGAAAAGAAAATATTTGTATAATAGCATCTGACATTACAATATATTTGCAGAAATCTTGCATCTATTAATCTTAATGCAGACTGATACATTCTAAAAGCATTCATGCTTTCAACTAAGTATATTATTGAGATGTAAGGGTGTTCAGGGCTTGATACTGTATATATATATATACGCACTATAATGTAGTTCTCTTTTTAATAGAAATAATTGCAGTCAAGCTGTTGGACCAAAAGGTGGCATCTCAACAGGTGCTATAAAACTCCACAAACCACTAAATGCAGCGTAGGGCAGGGGAACAGTGTGCATCTCTAACTCTTGTTAGCCAGAATATTGAAAACACGTTATACACAAATAGCTGGTAGGGCTTAGGGAAACATTTGTTTTAAACAATTCGTGGAAAGGAAAAAGTGTGGACAAAATACTGTTGGTGGTTAAGTAGCAATTTATAATTACTCCTAAGGATTTACTGATTTTGTATGGTCTTTTTAAGAGCTGTTTATAGCTCCTGTGTTTTTCATTCAGAACATCAAAAACTAGATCACTTGAATGATAGCTATTTTGGGATGAAGCAAGGCTGCTTCTTTGGGGAAGCTCCATGTTGCACTGCGAACGATGGCCATCACTACCTCTTACCCTGTTTTATGGGAAGTGACCAAGCACGCAAAATGCATAGATGAAATATCTTGGATTGATTTCAGCCCCTGAATCCTTTTCTTCAAATAAATACCTAATTCGGGATGCAAACAGGAAAGATAAAGTTCACAAACCCTCTTGACTTTGTTTCTCTTAAGTAGCATAAATGGAGGCCCTGATCCCAGAGGTAGTTATTGTGAATGCTGTTCCTGGAGCTAAATGTCTGAAAAGACAAGCGTAGAGATGCTGTTAATCATTACAGTTGTCTCCTCCGGCCACATTTGTGTAGTGCAAGCTCCAGTTGATAGTTCTTTCTCTGATGCATACTTCTTGTGAAATTTTGCTTTTAAATCGGTTGGTTTATTTCCAGAGAGAAGGGAGTTGTCTTTGGCACACAAAACACCCTTCTGTTCTCAGGTTTGACTGTAAGCAACTTGCAAAGCCAGGCGCTCTGGGGTGGAGAGACGACACCAGCTTTGGTGAGAACGTAGTTTCTTCTAATCCATATGGTACTCGGGTTCCCTGCCTCAGGAGTTCTTTCTGCTGTGTTCAGCCTCTGTCTCCACCCTGAAGTCAATGCCCAGCAAGACCAGATAGGTGCGGTGATGGAGCAAGTGGCCCGGGAGGAGTCCGGCCTTTCTGAGTGATTTCCTGTGGCTCGTCCTGGTGCAGAAGAGGTCTGAGGTGCTACAGCAGGCAGTAGAGGGGGTTAAAGACAGTGTGTTGTCGCTTGCTTGTGTTCATTCTTGCCCGTGAGTGCTGCCTTTTCTTCAGGCTGATGGCCACTGTTGTGAGAGGTAAGCCAGAGAAGGGTTCTGGCTTGTTTACCTTCAAGTGGTGACCACTCTTTATAATGCCCTGGGCATTTCCCTGTTGCTTGGCTGCTGCAGTTGGTGCAGAAAATTTCAAAGTGCGTTTTTTTGTTTTGGTTTCTTTTTTTTTTTTAATTGAGCTGAATTTAATGTATTTGGTTCTGGGTCAAGAAAATCTAAGATAACAATATGCTTGAAGTTCTCTAGGTTAATTAAAAGTTAGGAAAGCCAGTTACCAGCCTCATCCTGAAAGTTGTTGGTTTGCAAATCATCCAGTTCTCTTTGTAATAATATTTATTTAACAGTCATTGCTGAAAATTTTACTAGCATATTTGTGCTGCTTTGCATCAGTCAAAAAGCACAAAGGAAGCAGTTGCTTTATGTTCTTAGCATGAAGATTTGTGCAGTTTTCAAGAACAACACAGGGCAGTACATAATGTGTATGAGTGATCTGCTGCCCAAAATAAATGAGGTTATTTCCGCAGAAGTAAGAAATGTGTCAAAAGATGCACTGCCTGTCAAATACGTAGAAAGCTGGGGTGGTTCTGTGAGTGAAGTGGGATTATTAATTAGCACTCTTAAGTTCTATTTATCGATAAAAATCAGTGGATTTCTAATTAACATGTCTATACAATTTGCTTCTGTTCATGCCTAACTTGTAAATATTCTATGTTTTGCTTAACAAAAGTGCCTTTCTTTTGAATTCCAGCTTCCAGCCCCTTTGGAACTTACCTCAACTGACTTGCATCAAATACCAGGGCTTTTTCCAGATATCCCTTCAAAGCTGTTTTCCTGGTTCTGCTTCTCTCAGCCGACTTTATCTCCTAGCGATACTTAAGATTGAATTGCAGTGCTGTTGAAGGCCGCGCGGCCATGGCATTGGAACCCCTGCTGTTCCCATCACTGCAAAAGTTTAATGTATGGCTTTGGCAGACTATGTAAAGAACTGAGAGTGGTCACCATAAACAAAGACTTGAAGGTATCAGTTTTGTCTTTTTGTTTTCAGAGGGTCCATATGGAATATTTGCTGGCAGAGATGCCTCCAGGGGACTAGCGACTTTCTGTCTAGATAAAGATGCACTCAGAGATGAATACGATGACCTATCGGACTTAAATGCTGTACAGATGGAAAGTGTAAGAGAGTGGGAGATGCAATTTAAAGGTAAATTCTCAAATTAGCAGCACATGTTTAGCTTAAGGAAATGCTTTTAATAAAAATGACTGATTTGGGCTTGGGGCAGCTTTTAAAGAGATGTTGACAGTAACATTAATCATGCAATGTAACTGTCTTAGGAAAAGACCAGGGATTCCAGGCCTTTCTTCCATAGAGAGGATTCCACTATGTCCCACTACAGCTTTTTCAGCCTTTTAGTTTCATACAGGAAAGCTGTTCTCAGCTTTTCAGCGCAGAATTTCACTCTCGAATTTCAGTGTAGCTAAGCTGATGGAATTCCTGCTTGCAGGTTGTTGGCTTTGGATGCCACGGAATATGATGAGGACTACGAGTTGTTTCGGCACGGGGGGCTGAACAAGTTTGTCTTGAAATAATTTCTCCAGTATGCCTCTGGAGGGAGGGGGAGCCATTTTTCACATTAATTGAAATCAAAACAGGCTGAGGGAATTTGTGCTGGCTTTAATAGCAGCGTTTTCAGTCATTGTGTGGTAAAACGTGCCTGATTAGCTGTGGGAGAATTGAAACAAAGCTACTCGGAGTAGAAAAAGTAGTGAGCAGCAGCAATGATAGTAAGATTGTTTGAGGAGGCTGAGCTTGCTGATACATTGCCACCATTTTCTGTGATTCAGGTTGAGAACCTTAGTGTGCAGGCGAAGACGTGAATTTGCAGCAGTGCAGGCTGACTAGCAAATGCAGCTGTATTTGATTGTAACGGAATCATAAATCTTTTTCAGAAAAATATGACTACGTAGGTAGACTCCTAAAACCAGGGGAAGAACCATCAGAATACACAGATGAGGAAGACACCAAGGATCACACTAAACAGGAATGAACTTTGTAAACAACCAAAGTCCAGGGGCCTTCGGAACTGCAACCTCTTATTCCCCATCACAGAATGTCCTGCATCTTTGGGTACAGTTCATCTGCTGCGAAAAACATTCAACAGGTTTTGTACAAGGAAAATAATATACTCACAAATGAAGATTTGAATACTAAACATTATTTGTGCTGCCAAACTTTTTGTTGCAGTTTATTTGTAATGTCTGGTTAGGCTTCGTTAGTGAAGAGGGGCCAGGGATTTAAAGGCAAAAACGCTATTCCCTTTTATCAGTAAGTTGAAGCCTTCAAGTAGTATATATTCCAAGCTCTCTAAAAGACGTGAGTCTTCAAGCTCAGTGGAAGGTTTGAATCTTGTTTCGTATGTGTCTTCTCCTTCAGCATTAAAGACGTACTCATGTACATACGTATCAGTAGGTTAGACTACTGAAACTGGTGTTAAAATGTGAATTTCCAATTTTGTTTTATATGTGGGCGTTAGCAGCCCTGGCCGAATACTTCAGTTCTCTAAGAGAAGTCCATGTAGATTAGGATGGGGGTAAAATTCATCCTTTTCTCAAAAGGATTGGGTAAAACTGCTTCCCCCGCAACAACTATTATCTGAAACCTGCCTCTCCCCCCTTTTCCCATCCTCTAAATCAAATCAAATATTAATTGTGCCTTATTTCACTTACATAGACTTGAATTGTTTTAAGGGACAGCCCCAAAATTGCGGTTCCATAGTCACTACAAGCAGCATTGAGACTGAAGTTAGAATGTTCTGTTGACCGGAAAACCTTGATGTCATTCTGTGTATAGAATGTAAAAGAGGAATACTCAGTGTTACTGCCATATGTTAATACTACATATACTTAAATTAGCATTGTGATGGCCAAATGCATACTCCCATGCTTCTTTTTAAGTAATTACAAACACACAAAAGAGTCACCCTTCCTCCTCTTCCAGAAGCTGCCTAACTTTTGGGAGCGTAGCCTTCACACCCCTGTAGAGTGAAGGGGCGTGCGCGCGTGTGTATGTGTGTGTGTCTGTCTGAATGCAAGACTTGGGAGGGATTGTTTCTGCAGATATTGTAAATACGAGTACCATTTTAATAAAGCATGTACAATACCAAATGTGCTGTCAGACTTTATGTAGAAGCTGTTAAGCAGAGCTGGAATGTGATGGAATACAAAGTAAGGGGAAGAAGTCTTGGATATGAACCATCCACTGCTATTACTGCCGTTCCTTGTCCTCCTGCGGTGTTACTTTTCTGTTCAAGTCCCAGCTTTTGAAGAATCGTGAAGACTTACTCAGGTAAGCTTTATTTAAGAGAATGAACCTCTGCCAATGCATTTATAGTGGAAGAAGAAGACAAGTGACATAAATAAAGGAGAAGCACTTTAGGAAGTTGTGTGTAATGTACAGTAAAAGGAGTATGTCTCGTGGCACTGGCTGGGCAAGAATGCTGGAGATGTATACATGGGGATCACTGAACAGCTTGTAGAAATTCCACTGGCTGTTCTGCTAAATTCATAAGGGTGACGCTATTAAGTTCATGACTTGCAGCTTTATGGCTTACAGCTGCACCTCTGCAGATTCCACCTGTGATAAGTCTCCAGTAGCAGATTTCTGTATCTGCATCCTGTTGAACTGCAAACTGTGAAATTCCAGGCGCTACTTTCTTTTTATTACGATTTGACTGAAAGAGATTTGTATTGGTGTAAATGAAACAAATAAACAAAAATCCTCCCTTGAATCATGCGTAAGTCAGTCACGTGTCCTAGAAGGCAGGCGGACGGCTCTTGCTTGCGTATGCCAAGCTTGGAATAGAACAGTGATATCACTGCAGAAGAGGTAACGGATCTGGAGCCGTTTCTCCACGGGAGTCAGGTTACAGGCGGAACAGCCCTGTCAGGTGTGTGGCGGCAGCTCAGCGAGGCACTGGTTTCTGCTTAGCTCACATCCTTATAAGCTGAGCATTGGCGCAGCGTCCAGATGTCGGTTTGTACTGCAGTAAGTGTCTGCTAATCATCTAACGCTGTAGAAGTGCTGGGCACGCTAGTGTAACTAACCACAAAAATATGTGGTTTAGATGGAACGATGGAAGCTACCCGGGGATGAAGAACAGCTTTCTTGCATAGGACAGCAGCCAGGAGTACTTAAGCACCAGTTCTTTATCTGGATGCTTCACCAGGGAGGTTTTTTTTTTTATATGTTTTTAACTAAATCTCTCTATAAAAGGTTTTACATTACACTTTGTTGACAGTATGCCTTCCACCTGTAGCTTTTACACCAGCTCTTGCACCTCGTCATGGCCCCAAGACGTCTGTAGCTGTGGAGCAGGCAAAGGCAGCTTACCCAACTATCAGACAGGACAACCAGATAAATATTTTTTTCCCCAGGCTTCCACATAAAAATACATGTAGTACGGGTTACAGCTTCTACTGTACGAAGCACGGCTGGAGGGTCTTGCTGTGAGTTTCTCTCCTCTTTGCTCATTACAGCTGTTTCTCGTGCTACATCTGGCACAGCTGTAGCATGAGCTGTTTGTCATGCTTCTCTCTGTCTTATGTAGAAACATCCTAATCCAAGCGCAGCCTTTTCCTTTCCCTTACTGTAAGAAATGCAGTGAAGCTTAATCAGACTGAAGTTATATGAAGTTTTGGGGGTTTTAAAATTATTTTAAAAGAACAATGCTCAAATTTTTACTTTTATGACTTAGAACTAGCTGAACAGCGAAGTGATCAAAGATGGGTAAAGGGTGATTTTTGCTTTGAACCAGCTTATGGGTAGCTGTGAAGGACACTGCTGCCATAGGATGACAGTTTCTTATGTTGCATGGGCTTAATCCTGTATTTTGATGTCTCGTGGATCTAAATGAGCCTCATTCATCCTACGTACAGTCACTAGTGATTCAAAACTGACAGCCTAAAAAAAAAAAAAGTGCTTTAAAGCATGCTGTAGCTTTCATTTTTATAAAAAGCTGACACATACAAAGAATAGCTTAGAATAACATCAGATCCATCAAAACTTCAGTACAGTTAATATAATAATTTTATGGAGACACTCATCCTTGTAACATTTGTGTCAATCACTCGGTCAAAATTCACTATTAACTAAAATGACAGGCAGGTTGATAGTGACAATGTGTTAAATTTTGTTTAAGCAACATAAGGGACTTGAAGGGAGTATTTCCCATCATCTTCAGAAACAAAATACATTTCCAGTTTAGTACGTGACTTGTTTTCCTAGGCTAGACTTAGTGTTGAACTAGTTTGAGTAGTCATTTGTTTTGACACTTCTGCCTCATTTGTACAGCGCTTCACAAAAAAAATGCTTTATTATGGCAGGAAATCTATTTTTAAACCTTATTTAAAAAAAAAGGTACCACCATGTTGTTACTTAATCTGAACATCCTGAATTTCCACTGAGGACTACAGAATTACCCTTCCACATGCTTGGACTTGTTTCTGTCTTTTTATTGCGCTAGATCTACTTTTCCTTGGCTAAGGTTTAAATTTTCTATCCTATATACCTATATGATATATAATTCTACCCTGTATCTGTGGTGTACGCCTATAGATGGAGTGTAACTTGCTGTCTAATGGAGCAGCTAAGTGCTGCAGTTCAGTTATTCAGCTAGGAGTGTGTTTGTGATGAGGTCCTGTGGCGTTAAGAGTCCCTTCCTGCAGCCGGTATTCTTTCCCGTTTGCACATTGCAGGCTGTGCGGAAGGACCCTGCCAGCGCTGTTGCCCAACTGCTATTTCAGGCATGAAAGGAATGGTGCAATTGCAGCTGTAAATTTGGCTATTTACTCCTTTTCCTACTTAACACTAGTAATAATGTAAATCTGGCCTTGAAGGCTTGCTTAAATATGAAAGCGAAATAAATAATTAAGTATGAATGTTACTGGCAAGTCCTTCCACTGACTTCTAATTTATGGTTAAAGGCGAATGTTTACTAGCAGGTGGTTAGAGATTGGGTTTTAAGCTTGCTTTGGATAGAACACATGTGCCAAGGGTGGTTCAAAGGCAGGTGAAGGGTTGTTTACCTGAAAACTTAAAAACAACCACTGAACAAAGAAACCCCAAACAAACCCAAAGTGTTCCCTGCCCTTTTCTGGGGGGATTCTTGTGGTTTTGTGTATTTCTTCCTGTACCAGAAGGCAGAAACTTTCACGTGTTTCACAGAGGTCTAGTCTCGCGCTGCAACCTTCCTGCAAAATTCATGAACAAATTGAATTGTCTCCATTCTGGTTACAAAGTGTAGTTGGGTGTTTTGTGGGTTTTTGTGTGATGATGGTGTTTTACCAACCTGTCACGTTTTCTAGGTAACACTCTGTAAGACTCTAAAAAGAAAGCCTTTTGGAGGTGTGAAGTCCCGGAGGCAAGTCTGGATTGGCGCTTGACCACAAGCATTCAATTACTGTTTGTATAAAAACTCCCTCTTTCTTGACTGACTGTGGCCACCCATTTCACAGGAGTGAAATCGCTCTCCTTTGCTTGTACATACTTGAAGGCATGATTTTTTATTATTTTTTTTACTAGAAAGAAACCCAAACTAACCAGCTTTAAAGGTACTAACCAAGGCACTACCTTAAAACTGGTAACAGAGATGATTAAATTTCTTTAGAATGCTATAATGTTGCCATTTAGGTTGTACTCTTGTACAACAATAATACCTCTGACAAGTTAAAGCCCATTAGGTTTTGGGGTTGGTCTGTTCGCTGCGTTTTTGGAGTGGAGTTTGTGGAAGTGTAAGTTGCAAAGGGAACCTCATTCATTGCCTCCCCCCGCCCCGAAGAAACCCAAACTGTTTAATTGGGGGAGCATCAGTCATGCAGACAGGCTACTGCTGCTCCTTACAGGAAAACCTATTTTCTGGTCTCCATCGGGAACAAGAGCCAGCTTGAGTCTTCCCCTCCTTCCCTTTCAAAAAGCCTTTAGACACCAGTATTTTGAGCATGACAACAGAAAAATCCTACTGAGCTCAGGCAGGGCAGTGTTTTGAAATGCTTGTACAGTCACTTCTCAACAAAGACAATGAAGACAAGCCTAACTGATAAGCACATGGGAGAATTTTTAGACAAGGAAAGGTCTAAGACTTGCTTCGTGTTTAGTAATAGGCTACTGTAGAATGCAAGCGGTCTTAAGGACACATTGAAGGTTGCCTTAAATGGACCTAGAAGGAAAGGATGTTGGATGCACACATGGGTGTTCAAGGACAATGTCATGGCTCTGCAACCAGTATGCCAGTCACCGAGAGGTGATTAACCACGTTAAGCCGTACAGAGAAACGAGCTGCACAGCCAGCAAAGTCTTTGGGGTTTATTCTACAATTCAGTGTGTTTGTTCTCAGCTCCGTGTGTGAACAGCAGCAGTGTCAGTATTGGGTTTTTTCCACCTGTCTGCAAGGGGCGAGGGGGAAGATTCCAGCCCGTGGGAAGTGAAAGGGGGCAT